CCGCCAAAATCAGTATTGTATCTGGTCGGTACTGAAAAGTCCATTTTTAATTTTACGCAAAATGCGATATCCGCCGTGCTATTCTGTCATGTTTTCTCCCTATCTTTCCAAACCGCGACAAACGCCAGTCTCCCTTCTCTACAGAATGCGATACATCCGCTCAACCAATCACAGAGCACCATCCCACGCACTGTAAACAGTAACAACCAATCACAGCGCACCATTCCACGCACTGTAAACGGTAACAACCAATCACAACGCACCATTCCACGCACTGTAAACAGTAGCTACGCAATATCGCGTTCATAATTGCAGATGAATCGCCTTTGATTATGAACGTGTTATTGCGTAGCTTGTCAGTGATCTACGGCTCTGTGTATTAAATGCCGCTCCATCTGAAAACATGTGATGGAGATTTACTACTGATCACAGAACCGGCTTTACTGACGAGATGCGCATGACAATCGCATTCGGTTTATCGTGCAGCCCCAAAAAAATGAATAATTTTGAATTAATCAGTTTTTATAATAAATCTTTGAAAATCTAAATCTGGATTAGAATTTTTAATGCTATTATAACCTACTGATGCTATGTGAAAGTTTGAAACAGAAAATAGTGGTTTTCATCTTGCCACTTTCTTGGTAAAGAAAACACATTTTTACTCAAATTAATCAAAATGGATTTATAGCGTTTTGGAACCAAACTCTTCAAATAATTATAATTATTACAGTTACAATAAGTGTATATTATTTATGTATATTTCTGTCTATTTAATGTATAATTTATCTATATAATATATAATTTTAATAATTAACTAACTAATTTATATATATAAATTATATATAAAGTATATAAGTATATAATAAAAATTATAAAACGGAGAGTTCCGGTCCTTGATTCTGATTGGCCGAGCCGCGTTCGAAGCTGTTGTAAATTACTCTACAAACATACACCTTTGTTTACGTTTGTGTGTTGCAACCACAGCTGTTTCTGCGGAGCTACATTGTTTGGTGGAACACACATTCCAGCTGTCAGTCAATTCAACACAGATCGTGTCAGAACAACTCCGTCCACAAATACGGCAGGAATGCTTTGTGTTTTATCGCCGACAGCGTGTCTTTTGCTTTCTGCTGTGTGGAGCTTGTGCCTCCAGGTGTCTTTACTCTCTGAAGTCGCACAAGATGACTTCTGCGGATGTTTTTGAAGTTGTGCATGCAAAACCTGTTGGTTACAGCTTGTTTTTTTTAATCTTGCAAAAGCATAATTATTCACGAGTGTGTTTGCACAATGTTTGCCTGCTGATAGCATGCGTGTGTTTGGTTCCTGATGCTCAGATGAGGAGATTTAGTCAATGCAATGCAATATCTAATTCAACATGCAATGCAAATTCAATGCAATATAGTCTCTTAATATGCATTTAGTTTGCATTTAGCAGAGTTTTTAGTGTTTGCGTTGAATTAAAGAGCCCAAATAAGGAGAAAACGCTGTGTGACGATGTGAGGTGAGGAGGGAGACACACAGAGAAAAGCAAGCAGATAATGAGTTGTTCTGTGTGCATGCGTGTGTTTAATGTATGAGTGTAATTCAATGACCCTTGTGTTTTGGATAACACACCCATAGGCCATAAATTAGCCCTGCGGTGCAGTGCATCCTGGGTAATTACCGGTGTGTTGGCAGTTGTGTTTAGCATTAAAACGTGCCTCACGCCAACAAAAGGAGAGAAAGACTTACTGTGTTTTGTTAAAGGCCAGCAGTCTCATTGTTTCCTCAGACGTATGTGTTTTTGAGCTCGTTTCTCATTAGACACCCCCACAGTCCCCCGCTGCTTTCTCATACTGATATTACACTGTTGTGTTTAAATGCTGAATGCATGAGCAGTGCAGTATTGATGTAAAATACTGTGAGTCCGTGCTAGTGTTCAGACGTGCGCTGGCGTTCGGTGATAATTGTTCAGAGACTCTCTATTGTGCGTGAGAAATCGTCTCGTGATGCTGTTTCTCAGCAGGAAACCCGGCCGTTCAGAGAAGCCCAAGGTATTTTTAGAAGAAAGAGGTGTAAATTAAATCATTAGGACTTTGAATGAGACTGGCTTTTGCTTCCGTGGTGCTGCAGACTGACTGTAGAAACGTTAAAAAGTTCAAATAAACCTTTAGTGGTGTTAAAAGTAGCTACAAAACAGATCATCTACAGTAAATGAAATGCACTTTTAATTGTTTTGCGAACCACTTAAAAATGTGATTGCAAGTCAGATTGCGTATTTTTTAGGATTTTGTATATTTACTCAAAATATAACTCTTAAAAGATTGTCTGATTTTATATTTTTGTATTTATGTAATTTTTTACTATTTCTATTTTTACTGTTGAACTTATTTTAATATGTCAGTATTTACTTTAGTTAAAAAAGTATTTGTTATTTAGATTTTTACATTTCTGCAATATTTTAATATTTGAAAAAATATTTAGGACTGTCAGTAAAATTTCTACCAGTATTACAAAATATTAACTCAATTTTTTTAGATTCAAGATTCATATAAGGTTTTAATATTTTAAAGTATTTTTTTTATTCAAGACTTTCTGTCAAATTACTAGTATTTTACCAATATGTTTACTATTTATTACTCAGTATTTATATTGTTTACTCAAAATTTTAGTATATGTGTGTGTGTATAAACCAAAAATATACTATATGGAGTAATACAGTATATATAGAAAAATATAACTTTATATTTAAATATGTTGCAAGTTATGTCTATATTTAAAAATAAATAAATAAATAAAATTTTAAAAAGTTTATATATATTTTTATAATATTTTAAAATATTTTTTTAATTCAATGCTTTCTCTCTCTCTCTCTCTCTCTCTAACATTTTTATATGTATATAATATTTATAATAAATATTAAATATTTTTAATTTCTAGTTTGGAGTGAGATAATTCAATGCTTTCTCTCTCTCTCTCTCTCTCTAACATTTTTATATGTATATAATATTTATAATAAATATTAAATATTTTTAATTTCTAGTTTGGAGTGAGATTATTTACAAAAGCCAGCTGATGAACCAGCTAAATGTTTTACTAATGACATTTAGGAGCTGATTTGCATATTCATATCCGTTAGGAGACTGTTCAGATTCATTGTCTGCCAGGTGAAAATCTGGACTCTTTTCCTCAACAAGAAACACACACAGTTATGTGCCAAAGTTGAGATCTTGCCGTGAGGATCTTGTTTAGCTCACTAAGCCGAGTGTGAGCACTTGTAATAGTGACACTTGCCTGATCAAACAGCACTAATGAGCCCGGCGTTCATTAAAGCTCTCATTAAACATGCCTTGCAGGAGAGTGAACAGTCTGCTGATTTGTGTTTGTGTGTGCTGATGTTTTCTTGCAGAAACGCTTCTGGACGACTTCTTGCTGACGTATCTGGTGTTCATGTCCACCAGTGAGCTCTGCCAGGCGCTGCTGGGACAATATCCTTCAGATCGCTCCAAAACGTCTTCCAGAGCCACCGAGAGGCTCTTCACTCGACCCATGCGGATGTGTTGTGTGTGTTTTATAATCAAGCAGTACGGCTGTGCTGTGTTATAAATATAGTCACAGCTAAAGACCATCTACATGTACGTTCATAACAGCACAAAGGGGTTTTTCCCAATAACAATCTGTTGTGTAATGTGTAGTTTAAAATACACAACCGAAATGTTTTTCATTTGTAACCTAGAAAATGCAGAATTGTAAGCAAATATAATAAATATTAAATTAGATATAATGTTTTTTATTTGTAATTTATATATTATATATATTTTTTATTATTTACTGAAATTTTTTTTTTTACAAATATAATAACTACTATAT